ACTCCCTCGCTCTGTTTGCTGAGAGAGCCTGTGAGTGGTGACATCCCCCAAATAATGGGCATACCTTTTGCCCACTTCTTGACTCCTAATACTGTTTTCCTAAAAAAAAAAAAAAAAAGTCCTTATAGAAATTCTGCCTCTAAGTTTAGAAAGGAAAAATTACAAGATAAGCCTGAAATATCTTGGGCCAAAAAATAAAGAATATTTCAAAGAATGATGAGGATATGTCAAAAAAAAACCATAGAAGCTGGCTTAAAGGGACTTTTTACTGGCCAAATCAGGGATAATTTGAGCACCAAAATAAATAATGATAGTAAAATGGGAAACCATGACTCCACATAAGCATACAAAGAAATGAATGCATTGAAATTCTGATAAGAAGCAGGATATTTACATAGTCTGATAGTACCTCTCCATAAAATATTCATTCATTAATTATAAAGGAAAAAATAATTGTATGGCCCAGAGGCCTAGCGCATTTCACCTTAATCAAGTGATCAAATTTAAATTGCCAAAAATGGAAGCAATTGAAGCATGTGCCCCCAGATAGTTTACAATGAGAACACAGTATCACTCCGGGGTATTCCTGCTAAAGACGTGAATGCTTTCTGGACATCTCTACCTGGATGCCTTATAAACGCATCAAGTTCTTGTCCCCTGCTCCTCCTCACTTTTCCTCTCCTGCTATATAAATTATCTTGTTATAGCATTATCATGACTTGATCAGCTAAATTGACTCTACCTCCATTCCAGTTCCCAATCTGCACCACCATTATTTCCCTCCACTGCAAGAACCCTCTTTGCTTCTCTTCTTGGTATCCTAAATCCATTAACCACATAGCAATCAACATGTTTTGTTAATGACTATGAGATTATATTATCACTTCTTTGCTTAAAAGTTTTTAGTGGCTACTCATTACATCTGGAATAATATTCAGTGTTCTTGCATGACCCAGACTTTCCTTGAAAAGTGCTCCACTCACACTGGCTTTCTTTCATATCCTTAAATGCTCCAAGAGCTTTCCTACCCTATGTCTTTCACAAGAGCTAACCCATATGTGTGGAAAACTTCTCTCTGTTCTTTTCCTGGCTAGTTCTTACTTCTACCGCAGGAATCAGCTTAGAGGTCACTTTCCTTTCTGGGTACCTGCTAATCTGTCTTCCACGTTGCTACCAGGATGATAGCTCTGAAGCACAAAATTGGTCATGGCACTTCTATTTTAGAATCTTTAAGTGAAGACTTTGCTTAGCCCCCAGATCCTTATGTTCTGGCCCCTGCCTCCTTTTCTGTTCCCAACTCCTCCTCTTCTGCTCTTTACATCTGTTCTTGACTGTGTGCAGTGCATCCGTGAGACCATATCTTTTCACAACTCCATGTGTTGTCTCTTCTTCCCACTCTATCATCTGAATAACTTCGACTCTTCCTTCTAAAGTCAAAGCCATGGGTATCACCCCTACGAACTTCCTCCTGTGTCAGATTCAGATGTCCCTTACCCCCTTCTCAACACAACATTTAAGTCTTTGAAGGCACTTGACATACAGTGATGTCATTGTTTATTGACTCATCTGTCACTCATTAGGTGACGTTCTCTCAGGGCTTTTTATCTTCATGAATTACAGAGCACCTCGTGTAGAATAAGTGTGAAAATGATTGTGAAATGAGTTCATTGTTCACACCAAGTGGCACCGTGGGTCTACACAATTTTGTTGTTAGGACATTTCTCCGTACTCAGAAACAATTTTGATATTACTGGAATTGCTTTGCTGAAATTGCTCCACCAGTGCCACCCTAACTTGTTCAAGCAGTGTCCAGGCCCCAAATGTCAGTGCTTTGTGTATGCCAACACTTTACGCTCACATGAGTTTACAAAGAAAGAATCTCATTGCATTTTGAGGAAGAGTTACTCACCTTGAAGTCAGTATGAGCTCAATAAATGTTGCATATGGATAGATGGAAGGAAAGGAAAAGAATGAATTACTGGTAGCATAGATGAAGAGGTAGCCATTATGTAATATGATATTGGCAAGGAATCCAAAGAATCATAATATCTTTATGCAAATAAAAAATTAGAGAAATCTGAGTTACATATTTGTTAGTGAATTCATAGCTTAATGTACAATCAAATTACTACACCTAGCATGTTAATAAATACATTTAACTTGGAAAATGTTCTCTAATAGAACTCTTCAAGTTCTTAATATTTAGTCTTTTCAGTTCTATATGCTCTATATGCTATAAACACACAAAGGGAATGCTTATCAGTTTTGCAAATAACACAGTTCTGGGAAGACAACTCTGTGGACACTGGGATCATTTTAAAAAACTAAAGGTAGAGACCAGCATTTGCCAACACACAGTATTCATTAATACAATTGATTTTAGTCATTTATTTTTTCAACAATTCTTTATTGAGGACCTAGTATGAACAACTGGACATTGTTCTAGGAATTAATATGTATATAGACTACATATATTATAAATATATTATATATACATAATATCATATAGTTACATGTCATATATGTTGTCATATAATTATATATTTATATATTATATAATCATATACCATATTTCCCCATGTATAAGACGCACCCTTTTTTCAAAAAATTTGGGGTCTAAAAACTGGGTGCGTCTTATACAGCGGGGGTAGATTTCTTTTACTTGCATGTCCTGCTTTTTTCGCGCTTGTTTTTGCGCTCATACAACCACTGTATAAAATGCACCCAGTTTTTAGACCCCACATTTTTTGAAAAAAGGGTGCATCTTATACATGGGGAAATATGGTACATATATATCTATAATGTTATAGAGTCATATATATTTCTATACTCGTATATCTATAATGTTATATAGGCATATATATATATATATATATATATATATATATATATAGTGAAATGTGCTATTAAGAATAAAAAGCAGGGTAAGGGAATAGAGGACAACGTGGAGACTGCCATTTTGGATAGAGTGGTCAGGAAAGGCCTTTGTGAGGAGACATTAGAACAGAGAGATGAATGAAGTAAAGAAGAAAGCTACATGCATGTTCCAGTGACCCAGGAAGACTAAACAGAGACTGTGAACGTCCTGAGGCAAAGGCAGGATATGTGTACTCTAGGAACAAGAAAGAGATTAGTGTGATTGTAGCACAGTGAGTGGGATGGTAATGAGTAGTACAAGATGAGGTCAGGCCACGGGGAACATCAGGAAAATCCTGGGTCTTATAGTCCTTGGTAAAATTTTTGGATTTTATTTTAAGGATAATGGGGAGCTATTAGAGGGGTTTCCAAGGTCATTAAATAATTAGATTTTCATTTTAAAGACTTTATTTTGGCTTTTGTGAGAAAATGGATTGTAAGAGAGCAGTGGTAGAAACAGGGAGACAAGTTAGGAGACTCTTCTCACTAATACAGGCAGATGGTTTAGACTCAGAATGATGGTAGATGAGATAGAGAAAAGTGATCAGAGTCAAAATACATTTTGACTTGCTGCCAAACTTCAGGATGGAAATAATACAAAGGGAGAAACCAAAGATAAATCCACATATTTTTTTACCTGAGCAATTGGTTAAATGCAGACACCATTTACTGAGGGAAAAACTACTGGGAAGGGAGTAGGAATCAGAAGTTTAATTTTAGGAAAGATGGATTTGAGGTGCCTATAAGATTTAAGTGGAAAGTCAGAGTAAGTGGTTATGAATACAGTTCTGAATTTGAAAGGAGCTATCAAAGCTAAATACTTCACAGTGAGAAATTGCCCATCATTAACAGCACAGTGTTTAGAGCCCTAGGACAAAGACAGACCTCTTTGGATAGAGTATGACTTGGGAAGAGATGAAGTCAGAGGACTGAATTTTGAGACACACAAATGTTTAAGTGCCAAGAAGATAGTCAACAAAGATTCTGAAAATAGTTGACAGAAAATCAAAGGAGTATGGGGTATTGGAATCCAAGTGAAGAAATTCCTTCAAGAAGGATTGCAAGAACAGAGTGAGAAACTGTCAGTTGCCTCTGAATAATAGAATAAAAAGAGAACTGAGAATTGACCACTGAAATTGGCAACATGAAGATCACTTGTGACATTGCCAAAAACTGTTTAGGTAGAGTGAAGACAAAGCCTGTTGAGAGGGAGTTTATGAGTGAATTTTCCCAAAGAAGTGAAAGCAGTAAGTTGGGACAAATATTGTGACAAAGGGAGGGAAAAAATATATATATATATATATTTTTTTTAAATATATATATATATATATATATAAAATAAATAAATACATATATATATGTAGATAGAGGGAAATGTATAGTCAAGGATTTTGGTTTTTCACTGGTGAAATATATATTTATATGCTGATGAGAATAATGAGGTTGAGAGGAGAAATGTTATGGTGCAGTAGAAAGAAGTAAATAATTTTAGTAATGAAGTTTTTGAGCATTTAAAAAGGGATAATGTCCAGTACAAAAATAAAATCACACTTTGGGTTAAGATGTACAGACAGTTCATCTAGTATAACACAAGAAAAGGCAGAGCACACAGGTACAAATGCAGAGGAGCTGGTAGTTTTTGTTTTTATTTTTATTTTTTTTAGACTTTTTTTATTGGGGAATTGGGGGAGGAGAACAGCTTTGGGGAATTGGGGGAAGGGGAACAGCCAAGCTGCTGTCATTTTGTTCTTCAGTCTAGTTGTGCAGGACGTTGCTTCACTGGCCCATGTTGGTATTACCATTGCTCTCTTCCTGGGTGAGGCAGATCGGTCGCCGGCTTCTGGACGGCCGCTCATGGCAGCTCACACTGGCTGCCAGCCACACACAGTAGCCCATGGCAACCCACTGCAGCAAGGGCTGCAGCCTACACAGTCGCCGGCGACTCAGCAGCCCAGCTCCAGGTCAAGCTATTGTTCATCATCTTAGCTGTAGAGGTCAGTGTCACTGGCCCCCATGTGGGGTCCAGACCAGGGCCCTGCTGCTCAGAGCTGGTGTCCCAAGCCAGCTCTTAACCAACGCGCCACTCAGCCGGCCCCTGGTAGTTTTTATATTGGGGGAAAGATAATCAGAAGTTCTACTTCTGATTGCTTCTATTCTCACGGTGAAATAAGAAACAGGGTCATTTGTTGAGACAAAAGAAAAAGGAAGCGGGCAGTTCGCACTTACCGGTCTGGGCGGCAGGGACGCTCCGCCGCTCTCCCGATGGGGCAGTGCTTTCCCTGTCCCGGGGAGTCCGCGCCTCCCTCGCGGACCCGGCAGAGAAAAGAGCAAAACTTGCAGAGGCTGCAGAGAGAAGAGAGAAGGAGGCTGCATCTCATGGCATTTTGGATGTTCGTTCTGTGGAAGAAAAGAGAAAGAAAAAGAAAAAAATGGAAAAACAAATTGCTACGTCTGGGCCCCCACCAGAAGGTGGACTTAGATGGACAGTTTCATGAAGGATGGTATGAGAGTCTATTGCCAATAACTAGTACCTGCAATCAAGTGGACATGCTCAATTGAATTTCTTCTTTTTTAATAAACGAAGATTCAGACTGTAATTTTAATTCCCTTAAATGCAGTGCTTTTCAGTATTGAAATATCAGAAATGCTTTTGATTTTCAGACTTAAAAAAATGGCCAGAACTTTCATTAAATACTTATTTTCCTACAGTTGCTCATCTGCAGGGAGTGGATAATTTGCCACTTTGAATAGTTAAAACATGGACCTAAATAGTGAATATATATACATTGCATGTAAGGTTTCTGCATTCATCTCAAATATTGAAATTTGCCATATCATTTTCCCTCCTTTATAAAATGATCTAGCTATTTATAGTTGTGCTGCTTAGCCTTTTATCTCCTTTTATTTCATTATGTATGAAGACTTTTGCTTAAACTTATGGACTTAGTGCCTTTAAACTGACCATCAGGGAAATTTTTGAAAAATCACTTGAAGGGCTCATATGAAGGATCACTGTACATTTTTACAATGTACTAAGTAATGAGTATTTGTACAAAGTACTGAATTTCTCCTAATTTATTTTCTATTTATATAGCTTATAAACATAACATACTATGTTTTACATTACAATAATTTTTTTTTTTTGCTTGCTGAATTTAAAATTATGTGTTAGTGGTACCATCAGGGGGCAGTGATGTGCTATTATTACAATATCAGATTCAGCTCTGTGAAGATCTTTGTAGTAATTAAATGAGTTAAGAATCTGGAAAAAAAAAGAAGAAGAAGGAAGGCATTTAGAATATTGAATACATAATAATAGGTGCCAAACAATGGCCCGGAAGAATGGGTGGATGAAGTTACTTGAGCACTATAGTAGCACTGCAAGGTAGTGCTGTGTTTGTACCCAAGTTTATAGTCATGAATTTAAATCTGTCTCCATACACACATGTTTTTCACCAGCCATGTTCTTTCATTTTGATGCAAATGAATATAAACTCCCCAATGGCAGACACATAATTTTTGTTAACCACAAAACAGTGACTGGTACAAAGTATGCATTAAAATATACGTGGACTGACTAAATAATACCCCTCTTCTCCACTTGGCTGTGTTGCTTGCCACAATGTCTCCAGTACCCAACACAGAGCCTGGTTCATAGTCAGCCCTTAAATATTGGCTGAATAAATGAATGGCTCAATTAATCAATCTCTTTTTTTCCTGAACTTCTGAAATTTATACCCAGCTCCCTACTGAATAGCTTCACTGGATGTATCAAGCGAGTCTCAAATTCAACATATCTAAGACTCTACTTCCTACTTTTTCTACATCTGTTATTAGCTAGATCTTACATGAATTTGCCCTAGTGAGAAACCTAGAGTCATCCTCTATTTATCATCTCTAAAATGGAGACATCCATCTCTATTTCATAAATTTTTGAGAACATTAAGTGAAATAACCTAAGTTATTTCAAAGTTAGCACAATGCCTAGCATACAGTACCTATAAAGATTAGCTATTACCAGATTTCAGCGATTCTAACACATACATCTCTTCACATCTTTTTAATCAGGATGCATTTTACAATCAGTGATGTATCATAATTTAATTAGATGAGTTTTTTCTTTAAGTACTATATTAGATAGTGATGTCCTTTATATCAATGGTATCTTAGATGTGATAAAATCCAGTAATACCATTTCTTTCTCCAATATGTCCATTGATACTAAACTAGTAATTACGTCATGTGCAGTATGCTTCAAATCCATGTTTTTCTCCCTAACCCACTGTTGCAGCCTTACTTTAGGCCCTCATTTTTTCTCACCTGATCATTAAATGGCCTCCTGAATGGTCTCCTTGACTCCTACGTCACCCTTCTCCAATGTGTTTATCACAGCTCTACCGGAGTGATTATGTTTCTCCCATGCCTAACTTACCTCGTTGTCTGTATAACTGCACGAAGAATAAAATCCAAATTCTTTCTTATGCACACAAGACTCTTAACTCTCTCTCTAGTCTTATCCCTAAGCCCCAGCCAAGTTGAACTCTTTCTGTACTTGCAGATCACCTAACACCCCAGGTTTCACAACCCCATGTCTTTGGTCACACTGAACTATCTATTTAGAATATATTTTGCAAATGTCTGTCATCTGCTAAGAATTCCTGGCAATAAGTAACAGAAAAGCAACTAACATTTACTTAAACAAATACTGAGGAAGTGCACAAGTTGACCTTCCAAGGTTGATGCAATTGCCCAATAATACTGGCAGAGACTAAGGCCCTTCCTATCTTTTGGACTGGCTTAGTATGCAGACATTGATCCTCATGCTTGTTGTTTCGTCCTCTCAAGGTGACCATTGAAACTTGAAGCATTAAAACCATTTTCTGAGCAGGGAGAATGAGGAAGGACATTCAGTGGTGTGCCCACTGACACTTTCTCTTTTTATTCAGAAAACAAAAGTTTTCCATAAGCCCACCCAGAAGTTATCCATTTACATGTCACTGGCCAGACTAGATCAAATAACCATCCATATCTTAAAGATGGATAGAGAGAAGGGTGTTGTGTAGGTAGTTAAGCCAATGACCAATGTCTGCCATAGTCTGCTTGGCTAATATCTTCTTAATTATATCTTAGAAATTTAGAAAATTTGTATATATTTTTTTCCTTCATTATTAAAAAAAATATTTATTAAGGGGCCAGCTGAGTGGCTCAGTTGGTTAAGAGCATGAGCTCTGAGCAACAGGGTCGCCTGTTCGATTCCCACATGGGCCAGTGAGCTGCGCCTGAGCTGAGCTGCCACTGAGCTGCCAACAGGTGGCAGGATGGCTCAGCTGGTGAGAGCACATGCTCTTAACAACAAGGTTGCCGGTTCGACTCCTGCATGGGGTGGTGGGCTATGCCTACCTGCAACTAAGATTGAGCACAGCACCTTGAACTGAGCGGCCGCAAGCTGCTGACGGGCGGCCAGATGGCGACTGGACTTGGAGCTGAGCTAGCTGCACCCTCCACAACTAAGATTGAACGGCAACAACTTGTCTGTTCCCCTTCCCCAATTCCACAATTAAAAAAAAAATCTAAAAAAAAAATTTATTAAGCATCTAGTATACACCAGGTACTATTCTAGGCTCTGGGGATACAGCAATGAACAAAATCCTTTCCCTTGTGAAGCAGTCATCCTATTACTAACCCTTTGATTCAATATTTCTATTTCCGGTTATTTACCTTACAGACTACTCTTCAAAGACAAGGATGCTCATTGATCCAGCAATCTTACTTCTGGGTATATGCCCCCCGAAATTGAAAGCACATTCTCAAATGGATATTAGCACACCCATATTCATAGCAGCACTATTCTCAATAGTCAAAAAGTAGAAGCAACCTAAATGTCCATTGATGGATAAATGGATAGACAAAATGTGGTATACACATACAATTGAATATTTTTCAGCCTTAAAAAAGGAACAAAAGTCTGTCACATGTTGCAATCTGGATTAACCCTGAGGACATTATGCTAAGTGAAATCAACCAGTCACAAAAAGACAAATACTGTATTATCCCACTTATATGAAGTATCTAAAGTAATCAAAGCTATAGGAACAGAAAGTAGAATGGTAGTTATCAGGAGCTGCGGGAAGCGGGGAGTTGTCATTTAATGGGTATAGAGTTTCAGATTTCAAGATAAAAAAGTTTTGGAAATCTGTTTTATGAAAATGTAAATATACTTAATACTACTGAACTGTACTTTTAAGAAAGGTTAAGATGATTTAAAAGGAAAAGAAAATTTCACATCTGCATTTTCATGCATATTATTATTACAATAATTTGTATAGATTGGAAATATTTGGAATAGAAACCTAAATCTAGAGTAAAGTGAATAGATTTAACAACCTTCAAAAATGTGTTACTGAAAGCAGATGAAATGAATCATTTAAAAATGCCATTGAATTAGAGTTAGAGGAAATAACTAAAAAAAAAAGTGTAAAGAATCTAGGAATATTCATAACTCCAATTGCTTCACAAACAAGAGAACTAGAAACTACAAATGTAGTCAATGTATTGAGATATGCTTCAGGTAAGAAAGAGTGCATGAGATTTAATCAGATCATTTAACGTCCATCTATAAAATTATATCATAAAATATTTATTCCAATTATAATAAATCTTCAACTTATTTCATTTAATAAAAATTAACATTTTTAACACTCTAGCAAAAATTAAAATATGTGAGTGACATCAGCTATAGACACCATAGACTAACTGAGTCTAACAGACATATACAGAATATTCCACACTACTCGTCTTTCTCAGGTACATATGGCACATTCTCAAGGATAGAGGATAGATTACATGTTAGGTCATAAAACAACTCTTAACAAATTGAAAAAGTTTGAAATTACTCCAAGTATTTTTTCCAATCACAATGGAATGAAACTAAAAATTGATAATAGAAATAAAACAGAAAAATACACAAATACATGGAAATTAAACAACACACTTTTAAACAACTATTGGGTCAAAGAAAAAATCCAAAGGAAATTAGAAATTATCTCAAAGCAAACAAAAATGAAGCACAACATACCAAAACTTAAGGATGCAGCAAAAGCAATACTAAGAGGGAAATTTATGGCAATAAATGCCTATCATATAAAAGAAGAAAGATATCCAATAAACAGTCTAACTTTATACCTCAAGGAACTAGAAAAAGAGCAGACTAAACCCAAAATTAGCAGAAGGAAGAACAGCATAAAGATTAGAGCAGAAATAAATAAAATAGGAAAAGAAAGCTAATTTTAAAAATTGATAAAACTAAGAATTGTTTTCTGAAAAAATAAACAAAATCGGCAAACCCTTAGTTACACTAAGAAAAAAGAGATTACTCACAAAATAAAATAAGAAATGAAAGAGGAGATATTACAACTATTCTCACAGAAATAAAAAAGATCATAAGGAACTATTATGAACAATTATAAGCCAATAAATTGGACAACCTATAAGAAAT